GTTGCCTAGAACACACTGTTTGGGGTGGTTGTTGCATAGAACACACTGTTTGGGGTGGTTGTTGCCTAGAACACACTGTTTGGGGTGGTAGTTGCCTAGAACACACTGTGTGGGGTGGTTGTTGATTAAAACACACTGTGTGGGGTGGTTGTTGCATAGAACGCACTGTGTGGGGTGGTTGTTGCATAGAACACACTGTGTGGGGTGGTTGTTGCATAGAACACACTGAGTGTTGTGGTTGTTGATTAAAACACACTGTGTGGGGTGGTTGTTGTCTAGAACACACTGTGTGGGGTGGTTGTTGATTAGAACACACTGTGTGGGGTGGTTGTTGATTAAAACACACTGTGTGGGGTGGCTGTTGCCTAGAACACACTGTGTGGGGTAGTAGTTCCTGAGGAGTACGGAGAAGAAAAAAATAACAGACAGATAAAAGACAGAGATGTCTGTGTGGAAACAGCCAGGAGAGGTGGCTTAGAACTGCTGTTCCATCAAAGAGATGGACAAGCCTGGAGAGGTGGCTTGGAACTGCTGTACCATCAAAGAGATGGACAAGCCTAGAGAGGTGGCTTAGAACTGCTGTTCCATCAAAGAGATGGACAAGCCTAGAGAGGTGGCTTAGAACTGCTGTTCCATCAAAGAGATGGACAAGCCCGGAGAGGTGGCTTGGAACTGCTGTTCCATCAAAGAGATGGACAAGCCTGGAGAGGTGGCTTGGAACTGCTGTTCCATCAAAGGGATGGACACTGACATTATTGTCCACAGTGCAGAAACGTTGAAAATTAGATTGCATGAGGTTAGATGTCGTAAGATAACAGAGTCGCAGGTAGAAGTCTGCCGTGCCACAGGACAACAGGTCTGAGGCTAGAATGCCGCTAGTGATCTCCCCCCAGCATCAGAGGCAATAAATACTGGTATTCTGAGAGAATACACGCGATCTTCCCCCTTCCCTCCCCCCAGCATCAGAGGCAATAAATACTCGTATTCTGAGAGAATACACGCGATCTCCAAACATCACTCAACAGTTGATAGAATTGTGCCGTCTGTCCCTAATGTATCATTATAAAACAACACAATATATTATAACAAACATGATATCTAATGTCTACTGGAACCTAATCAGCTGGAACAGTCTGAACGCAGAAACAAAACCTCGACATTTGTATGACTGTCAACTTTGTCCAGACGAGACATTACCAGGCTGCCTATGGCTGTCACGGTTGTCCAGACGTGACATTACCAGGCTGCCTATGGCTGTTACGGTCGTCCAGACGTGATATTGCCAGGTTGCCTATGGCTGTCACGGTCGCCCAGACGGGACATTACCAGGCTGTCTATGGAAGTCACGGTTGTCCAGGCGTGACATTACCAGGCTGCCTATGGCTGTCACGGTTGTCCAGGCGTGACACTACCAGGCTGCCTATGAAAGTCGCGGTCGTCCAGACGTGACATTACCAGGAACCTATGACTGTCACGGTTGTCCAGACGGGACATTGCCAGGATGCCTATGACTGTCACGGTGGTCCAGACGGGACATTGCCAGGCTGTCTGTGTAATTTCTACAACAGTATTCGTTACTTTCACACCCTCTAGCTCAGGGATCTATAGCCTGAAAAAAGGTGGGGGGGGGGGAGAGGGGGGTAGGAGTGTCGCTCCCTTACGGAGGGGGCGTGAGGACGTTTCGAGAGCAGGGAAGGAGGGGGAAGCGTCAAGCAGTTTGTTTAGCTTGAGGATATCTGCGCTTGTAACAATCAGGTGAAGCCTGGTATTGCCTCTTGAAGCTTGTAGGCACGTACAGGACAGCAGATGGTATCTCCCAGTCACAATATGTCAGGTTATAGACCAGTCACTGGCAACTGAAGGCTTATAGAACAAATCTAACTTTTCCGTGACATCATTTACAGAAATCAACAACCATAGAACTCTCTTTTTTCTGCGATTCTGATATAAATTTGTGGTTTGCTTTTTTTTTTTTTTTTAAATATAGCTATAAAAAATCATGGAAGCGATTTACTTGTCTGATCAAACTGGGAACAACTGACTTGACCAGTGTTTCTGAAACTGTTGACATCTGAGACCCACCAAAATAGCGGCAATTGTTGCCTCTACCCCGGCTTATAGCCTTACGACTTGACCACTGCCAACTGGCGGGTCACCACTCACACTGTTTGAAGAACACTGTCGTAGACGCCGGACCTTGAGGCTTGAAGCAGAAATGTTGTCACGTGGCTCAGCGGACATCCTTGACCTTGTAAACAATTTTTTGTACGCGTACTTTTTATATATTTCATACTGTTTCAGACATATTATTATATTTACGTGCTATTCAACAGTATTATTTTTATTACTATTATTGTATAACATTTTCAAGAAAAAAGGGTGTCGTTACGCACCATAACGAGCTGCATGTACTTAAACCATGAAGTGTATATTATAGTAGCACTAAAACATTGATGTCTAAAAAAAAGTGCTAGAACCGCGGACAGCCAGAAAAGAAGCCATAATTAAATGTATTATTATAACTGTGGTCGAAAACACAGGATTATGCCCCGACTAGGATACCTCCCCCCCCCCCCCCCCACCTCCTTTCTGTGATGAAAAAATATGTAGGGTGAAAATGTGTTTCCTTGTTTCGGCGCCCCTGTTTGTCGTCTGACAGTAATGCTCAAAAAGTAACTAGAGATAAAAACAACTATGTCACTGGCCGCTTGTAGCGTCATTTGCCTCCATCTGCCAACTAACGCCAGTGTTTGTGAGTCAGGAATCGGAGCATACCACAGCAGATCTATATACCCAGAGCTCTACGGGGGGACACACAATTATCGTCTGCTTCTTCTGTTTCTCTTTATTTTCCTTCTCACCTTCCCTCCTTCTCTTCTTTTACGTCTTCCCCTCCAGTCTCACGCGCGCGCGCACGCACCAACACATTACCTGTGAACAGGGATGAAGGAATGAACTAGAACGAGTATGTACTTTAACACCAGCATACCCCGGGGACGAAAGTGAAGGGGATTTTGAGAAACGCTACATGCTGTATCAAAAGGAGCCTCTGTCTTCGAATATGACCCCCCCCCCCTCCCCCCCCCCCACCCCCCCAGAATAACCTTGACTCCCAGGTCGACCCAGCCTTGAGTGGGTACCTGGTGCAGCCCCGGGAAGTAAAGGTTGTCGGTGTGATGCTGACCACATCACCCATCGTGTGCTGATGGTCTATAAAAATATAGGTCTAGCCTTGTATGCCCTATACGCCTAAATACGGGGAAAAGGGACTTTTCCTTGATCTTCTGTAGCATGCTCAGTGTGTTGTCATGTTGCTGGCGGTAGAAGCAAAGGCTCCACTATCTTCTTTGATGACATTTCCTTTAGCTCTTGCCGTAAAAGTCCATAAACTTCGCTTCTGACGAATTACGGAACCATCTGTATGTATAACAGCATTTTCCGGTGATGTGTGTTCCTCCAGCAATGCTTTCACTTCTGCATCAACTATTGGTGGCGCCAAATCACAGCACTGTCTTAACGGCTTGATGACCACCACAAAGTACTGCTTGTATTCCTTTGGTACTTGTGTCAATTCCTCTCCATGGTTTATATCTTGAAGGGAAAGCAACCGCTGAAATACTGTCTCTGCACGGCCAAACATTGTGTTGGGAACATTTTTTTTTCTCTGCTAGGAATGCCACAGGGGTTAAGGACAGAAAAAGTGTCTTTACTGATGTTTTTGTTTTGTTTTTGGAAAAAGAATAAGACTCCTGTAACCATGTCTGGACATTTTCTTCAAACCTAATTCCAGCACCACCAAGATGACCACGACATGGAGGTGACAGCCCTGAAATCTAGCCATTCAAGCGACAGAGAGTTTGCAAGTCTACTGAAAATCGCTTTGTTTACCTTTGGGAACTCTGGTGCCCAGTGGACCAAACTGCCAACACGGCCTTATCTAGAATCCCAGGGTACTGAAGTGCCAATACAGTCTCACCTTATCGGCGAGTTACAGCCCCTGGCTTTCCCAGAAATATTTATTTTACCGTTTCCACGTGTCTCGCCAAGTTTCAGAGCTATAAAGCACGACTGGTTTTATGTATTTTGATCTTGGTGTTGCGAGACAGACACTTTGACTTAAGCAGATGTTAAAGGGCATAGTATACTTTATTTGTATTTCTTCTCTCAGCATGTTGGAGCAGTACTTATTCGTTTCCGTCCGCTTGATTTTCATATTATCGACTCCTAAATGGCCGGAGTTTATATCCTTTCCCTGTCTATTTATAATCATATATTATGTCTTATCTTGATTGATAACTAGTCCACTTTTCTGAGCTGCTTCGTTTAAGACATTAAGTGTTTAAACAGTCTCTAGTTCATTTTCTCCAATGATAACAATGTCATCAGCATATCGAAGCATTTTCGAAGTTTCTCCTATGGTACACTCTTGTTTCAATTTCCTTTCAATTTTCTCCAGGGCAAAGATAAAAAGAAGTGGGTACAGAGCATCACCTTTTTTAAACCAGAAAAAAAAGGGTCTGACTTTCTGCCTTTATATGTTATTATATTACGAGTGTCTGACCTACAAACACTAGGTGTTACCAACTGGAAAGAGAAGGCTAACCAGAGAGATGACATCTGCAGCAATGAACCTCAAGGGCTCGGAATGCCGAAAAAGAAGACGTGTACCGCCAGTCTACTGGTTAGACATCGACCTGGCTGCTCCAGATATACATTTAAGTGATATTGTGTATTTTTATAGTATGATCTAATTTATGTATGTGCTGATGAAGGCTCCACATCTGCAATGTCCAATTTTTTTTTTCAAGAAGAAGAGAAGAATTAGCAAAGCAATTGCCTGCACCAGTCGTCACGGCCAGTATGCGGGGCACAAGGTATATTTTATTTCGTTACCATTGTTGAATGCCAATTTGTAACGTAACAGCTTTATAAAGTTTGTAAAGTACAAAGTTGCGATAACTGTAGCAGACGCAGAAACAAGCGGGCGGACCTACAACAACATGGACTTGGCTCAAACAGCGCACCAGGTACCTCAGTCTTAGCCATTGTTTGACGGCAAACTTGCTGATCTGTTTCCCAGTTTGCTTATTACGATATTGCTCTACTTACTTGATTTTATTAGATATGAACTTAAATAGTAAACACAGTTCTAGTCGAAACTCTGCTCTGGTACTGGTACTATTCAAAACCCCACAGGGAAGGGCTTACTAATCTGGTCTTCATAGGGCCTTGCTCTGTGTCCATTGTATTTCTTCTGTGGAGCTCTCTGTGGCAGCTGGGGCCAGGTCTTTCTCATCAGATGGTCAGACCATCTCACCTGTTGCTCTTTAATAAACTGTATGGCTGGTTTCAGGCCTAGTCTTCTTCGTAATTTTAGTTTGACCACTTTTGTTTCAAATGTTTCTCTGTCACCTTTCCTCAGACATCTCATCTCGGTTATCATTTGACACTCATTAGGTTTTTAAAGTCTATATTTCACACTGGTAGTATAGACATGACCAAAAACAAATTCTTACTAGATTTGCTTTGGTAGACAAAAGTATCTTGTGCAGTTAGTTTGCACTTGACCACAGTGGTCTTACAGTCACATAACACAGTGTTCAGTCTTACAGTCACATAACACAGTGTTCAGTCTTACAGTCACATAACACAGTGTTCAGTCTTACAGTCACATAACACAGTTGTCAGTCTTACAGTCACATAACACAGTTGTCAGTCTTACAATCACATAACACAGTTGTCAGTCTTACAGTCACATAACAGTGTTCAGTCTTACAGTCACATAACACAGTGTTCAGTCTTACAGTCACATAACACAGTTGTCAGTCTTACAGTCACATAACACAGTTGTCAGTCTTACAGTCACATAACACAGTGTTCAGTCTTACAGTCACATAACACACTTGTCAGTCTTACAGTCACATAACACACTGTTCAGTCTTACAGCCACAAAACACATTGGTCCGTCTTACAGTCACATAACACACTGTTCAGTCTTACAGTCACATAACACACTGTTCAGTCTTACAGTCACATAACACACTGTTCAGTCTTACAGTCACATAACACAGTGTTCAGTCTTACAGTCACATAACACAGTGTTCAGTCTTACAGTCACATAACACAGTGTTCAGTCTTACAGTCACATAACACAGTGTTCAGTCTTACAGTCACATAACACAGTGTTCAGTCTTACAGTCACATAACACAGTTGTCAGTCTTACAGTCACATAACACATTGGTCCGTCTTACAGTCACATAACACAGTGTTCAGTCTTACAGTCACATAACACATTGGTCCGTCTTACAGTCACATAACACAGTGTTCAGTCTTACAGTCACATAACACAGAGTTCAGTCTTACAGTCACATAACACAGTGTTTAGTCTTACAGTCACATAACACAGTGTTCAGTCGTACAATCACATAACACAGTGTTCAGTCTTACAATCACATAACACAGTGTTCAGTCTTACAGTCACATAACACAGTGTTCAGTCTTACAGTCACATAACACAGTGTTCAGTCTTACAATCACATAACACAGTGTTTAGTCTTACAGTCACATAACACAGTGTTCAGTCTTACAGTCACATAACACAGTGTTCAGTCTTACAGTCACATAACACAGTTGTCAGTCTTACAGTCACATAACACAGTGTTCAGTCTTACAATCACATAACACAGTGTTCAGTCTTACAGTCACATAACACAGTGTTCAGTCGTACAATCACATAACACAGTGTTCAGTCGTACAATCACATAACACAGTGTTCAGTCTTACAATCACATAACACAGTGTTCAGTCTTACAGTCACATAACACAGAGTTCAGTCTTACAATCACATAACACAGTGTTTAGTCTTGCAGTCACATAACACAGTGTTGAGTCTTACAATTACATAACACAGTGTTTAGTCTTACAATCACATAACACAGTGTTTAGTCTTACAATCACATAACACAGTGTTTAGTCTTACAATCACATAACACAGAGTTCAGTCTTACAATCACATAACACGGTGTTTAGTCTTGCAGTCACATAACACAGTGTTGCAGTCTTACAATTACATAACACAGTGTTTAGTCTCACAATCACATAACACAGTGTTTAGTCTTACAATCACATAACACAGTGTTTAGTCTTACAATCACATAACACAGTGTTCAGTCTCACAGTCACATAACACATTGGTCCATCTTACAGTCACACAACACAGTGTTCAGTCTTACAATCACATAACACAGTGTTGAGTCTTACAGTCACATAACACAGTGTTGAGTCTTACAATCACATAACACAGTGTTCAGTCTCACAGTCACATAACACAGTGTTCAGTCTTACAGTCACACAACACAGTGTTCAGTCGTACAATCACATAACACAGTGTTGAGTCTTACAGTCACATAACACACTTGTCAGTCTTACAGTCACATAACACAGTGTTGAGTCTTACAGTCACATAACACAGTGTTGAGTCTTACAATCACATAACACAGTGTTCAGTCTCACAGTCACATAACACAGTGTTGAGTCTTACAATCACATAACACAGTGTTCAGTCGTACAATCACATAACACAGTGTTGAGTCTTACAGTCACATAACACAGTGTTTAGTCTTACAATCACATAACACAGTGTTGAGTCTTACAATCACATAACACAGTGTTGAGTCTTACAATCACATAACACAGTGTTGAGTCTTACAATCACATAACACAGTGTTCAGTCTTTCAATCACATAACACAGTGTTTAGTCTTACAATCACATAACACAGTGTTTAGTCTTACAATCACATAACACAGAGTTTAGACTTACAATCACATAACACAGTGTTTAGTCTTACAATCACATAACACATTGGTCGATCTTACAGTCACATAATACAGTGGTCTGCAGGCTATCCTCCAAAAAACGGTGCCAAATTATGGAGACCAAAAATATACCCTAACAGGGCCTAAGTCACATGTAAATTGCTGACCTCTTCTGGCAGCTACACAGCATGCCGCGAAAAAGCTTCAGCTGAGCTAAAGTCACTGCCGATACTCTCAGGGGTATACTGTGTAGTCACCGTAAGAGGTCCGCAATTTACATGTGACTGTGTTAGGGTATATTTTTGGCCTCGATAATTTAGGACCATTATTCCGAGGATAGCCGGTCTGTCAAACAGCCACATAACACAGTGGTCAGTCTTAAGTCACATTACACAGTGGTCAGTCTTACAGTCACATAACCTCAATGTTCAGTCTTACATTCAAATAACCTAGTGGTCATCTTAGTCACATAACACAGTGCTATGCTGATTTCAGCTCTATGATGAAGGCTTTGCTGTCATCGAGAACTTCCTAACAAATGAAGAAATCTCAACTCTCAAAAAACGGATGCATGAGATAGTTGAGGACTTGAACCCAAAGGAACATCACACTGTGTTTTCAACAACTGACCAGGTGAGATGTTTGACTATGTGCCCAAGTACCTTACAGCATACCGGCTGAAACTAACAGCATGCCAAGTGAGACTGACAGCATTCCTAGTGAGACTGACAGCATTCCAATTAATACTGACAGCATGCCAAGTGAGACTGACAGCATTCCTAGTGAGACTGACAGCATTCCTAGTGAGACTGACAGCATACCAGCTGAAACTGAGCATGCCAAGTGAGACTGACAACATGCCAAGGGAGACTGACAACATGCCAAGGGAGACTGACAACATGCCAAGGGAGACTGACAGCATGCCAAGGGAGACTGACAACATGCCAAGGGAGACTGACAACATGCCAAGGGAGACTGACATCATGCCAAGGGAGACTGACAACATGCCAAGGGAGACTGACATCATGCCAAGGGAGACTGACATCATGCCAAGGGAGACTGACAACATGCCAAGGGAGACTGACAGCATGCCAATGGAGACTGACAACATGCCAAGGGAGACTGACAGCATGCCAAGGGAGACTGAAAACATGCCAAGGGAGACTGACATCATGCCAAGGGAGACTGACATCATGCCAAGGGAGACTGACATCATGCCAAGGGAGAATGACAACATGCCAAGGGAGACTGACAACATGCCAAGGGAGACTGACAGCATGCCAAGGGAGACTGACAACATGTCAAGTCACCACATTAATTGACACTGCTTTTTGTCAACCAGATGACAGATTTCAGTTTGACACCCAGGACATTTGGTTGTATAATCAGCTAGGGGACTTTGTCATCAAACAGCGTTTAAAAGTCTCTACCCCATGTGTGTGCTGACTTGGGCATGTCTGAACCATCGATTACATGATTATCCTCCCCTCCAACCCAGCTACCTAACTTTCAACAGACAAGGGCAACAAACTGCATGCATCCATATGCACATTTGGGGCCGTGTTAGCGCAGTCGATAGGAGACTCACTTTCATATCCTGCTGCGACTCGCTGCAGCCATGGTCCATGTTCGAAACCGGGCGGTTCCCGAGGTTCATCCAGCCTCTAGGTAGGAAATGGGTACCAGAGTTAACGCTGTGGGGTAGATGGAGGAACGTCACTGTAGCTACGGAGTTGCATGCGGACGGCGACGGTGGTGGACATTTTCTTATCAGCTGTCCGTACTGGTGGCAGAGCATGTATGGTTTATAACCGTGTGCAATGACGCTGGTTCACATATCACGACTTTACCTTTACCTTTTATATCATAAGTTGAAAGCCCTTCTCTGCTGAAAAATATTAAGAACAAATTACTGCTTTGGCACAGTCTCCATGTTAGAACAGCTATCCACCCAGAGCAGATGCCTGTCTGTTATATACACATTTAGATCCTTGCTGGTACCAATGGGTGTATGTACTGTGCTGACATTCTGCTGTATTCTGCTGTATAATGTGTCTGCTGTATAAGTCTGTGGGTTGGATAGTTGGTGAACTGTGTGATACAGATATAGTCACTGCTGAATGTTGTCACAGCACAAACAGATTAGTCATCAAACCTTCAGAGACTGGCTGAGAGAAATAACCCTGGACAATCTAAGACAGCAGCATGTAGTAATGAATATCCATATGGGAATATCCATATAACAATATCCGTATAAAAGGAACATCCATATAATAGGATTATCCATATAGCAAAATCCATATAGAAATATCTATAGAGGTATATCCACATAGGAATATCCATAAAGGAATATCCACATAGGAATATCCATAGAGGAATATCCATATCATCATCATGTAGCAGGTCCTTTGCAGAATGTCACTCTCATCACAGTCTGCCTGAAAGAAACTCAGTCTCTTGCCAGTTCTCCTGCCTCATGTACTTTCATACTCAAGGAGTCACTTATATCCTGTGCCCATCTTCGTGTCGGTCGGCCCCTGCCCCTCCTTCCTGGTACCATGCCTTTTGCTATAATTTTTCCAATCTGTCGTGGCTGATTGATATGACCAAAATATTTCAGCTTCCGAGAAAGGATGTTGTTTATAAGCCAATCTTTCTTGATGTTCAAATCTTTTAAGATGTCAGTATTTCTCCTCTTCTTTGTCCAAGAAGGGAAGATGCATGCTCTCAAAATTCTAATTTGTATCTCCTTGTTGGTGCTTAACATAGACTTTTAAGGCTGTTCAATTTTTTATCCATATAGCAATATCTATATAGGAATATCATTAATTGAATTGACCACAAACAACAAGTTGTGAAATCTGTTGAAGAGACATGAATACCTTTGCTGCAAGACAAGGCCCATGATGAATATCTTTGCTGCAAGACAAGGCCCATGATGAAAATCTTTGCTGCAAGACAAGGCCCATGATGAATATCTTTGCTGCAAGACAAGGCCCATGATGAATATCTTTGCTGCAAGGCCCATGATGAATATCTTTGCTGCAAGACAAGGCCCATGATGATCGAAAATATGATGATTTGTTCACTGGATTACATGTTGATTGGTTTGCTCTGTGTTGTAAATGTTCTACTATTTTATTTAAGCATTGCATTGTCCTGTTTGTTGATTGCTAGGTGTGTGTCATTTCTTTGGTTTTTTTGCAGACACGTAATGATTACTTCATGAACAGTGGAGACAGGATTTCATTTTTCTTTGAGGAAGAAGCTCTGGATAAAGATGGTAACATTTCTCATGTTGATTGATTGCTTCTGTTTTGTATGTAATGCTTCCATGGTCAGTAGACTGTCACTTGTTCTTCTATCCAAGCCTCATGTTGTCTGTAATGTTTCCTTGGTCAGTAGACTGTCACTTGTTCTTCTATACAAGCCTCATGTTGCCTGTAATGCTTCCATGGTCAGTAGACTGTCACTTGTTCTTCTATCCACACCTGATGTTGTCTGTAATGCTTCCTTGGTCAGTAGACTGTCACTTGTTCTTCTATCCACACCTGATGTTGTCTGTAATGTTTCCTTGGTCAGTAGACTGTCACTTGTTCTTCTATCCAAGCCTGATGTTGTCTGTAATGTTTCCTTGGTCAGTAGACTGTCACTTGTTCTTCTATCCAAGCCTGATGTTGTCTGTAATGTTTCCTTGGTCAGTAGACTGTCACTTGTTCTTCTATCCAAGCCTGATGTTGTCTGTAATGTTTCCTTGGTCAGTAGACTGTCACTTGTTCTTCTATCCGCACCTGATGTTGCCTGTAATGCTTCCTTGGTCAGTAGACTGTCACTTGTTCTTCTATCCGCACCTGATGTTGCCTGTAATGCTTCCTTGGTCAGTAGACTGTCACTTGTTCTTCTATCCAAGCCTCATGTTGCCTGTAATGTTTCCTTGGTCAGTAGACTGTCACTTGTTCTTCTATCCACACCTGATGTTGCCTGTAATGTTTCCTTGGTCAGTAGACTGTCACTTGTTCTTCTATCCACACCTGATGTTGCCTGTAATGTTTCCTTGGTCAGTAGACTGTTACTTGTTCTTCTATCCAAGCCTGATGTTGTCTGTAATGTTTCCTTGGTCAGTAGACTGTCACTTGTTCTTCTATCCAAGCCTCATGTTGTATGTAATGCTTCCTTGGTCAGTAGACTGTCACTTGTTCTTCTATCCGCACCTGATGTTGTCTGTAATGCTTCCTTGGTCAGTAGACTATCACTTGTTCTTCTATCCACGCCTGATGTTGTCTGTAATGCTTCCTTGGTCAGTATACTGTCACTTGTTCTTCTATTCAAGCCTCATGTTGTCTGTAATGTTTCCTTGGTCAGTAGACTGTCACTTGTTCTTCTATCCACACCTGATGTTGTCTGTAATGCTTCCTTGGTCAGTAGACTGTCACTTGTTCTTCTATTCAAGCCTCATGTTGTCTGTAATGTTTCCTTGGTCAGTAGACTGTCACTTGTTCTTCTATCCACACCTGATGTTGTCTGTAATGCTTCCTTGGTCAGTAGACTATCACTTGTTCTTCTATCCAAGCCTGATGTTGTCTGTAATGCTTCCTTGGTCAGTAGACTGTCACTTTTTCTTCTATCCAAGCCTGATGTTGTCTGTAATGCTTCCTTGGTCAGTAGACTGTCACTTGTTCTTCTATTCAAGCCTCATGTTGTCTGTAATGTTTCCTTGGTCAGTAGACTGTCACTTGTTCTTCTATCCACACCTGATGTTGTCTGTAATGCTTCCTTGGTCAGTAGACTGTCACTTGTTCTTCTATCCAAGCCTGATGTTGTCTGTAATGTTTCCTTGGTCAGTAGACTGTCACTTGTTCTTCTATCCAAGCCTGATGTTGTCTGTAATGCTTCCTTGGTCAGTAGACTGTCACTTGTTCTTCTATTCAAGCCTCATGTTGTCTGTAATGTTTCCTTGGTCAGTAGACTGTCACTTGTTCTTCTATCCACACCTGATGTTGTCTGTAATGTTTCCTTGGTCAGTAGACTGTCACTTGTTCTTCTATCCAAGTCTCATGTTGTCTGTAATGTTTCCTTGGTCAGTAGACTGTCACTTGTTCTTCTATCCAAGCCTGATGTTGCCTGTAATGCTTCCTTGGTCAGTAGACTGTCACTTGTTCTTCTATCCACACCTGATGTTGTCTGTAATGCTTCCTTGGTCAGTAGACTGTCATTTGTTCTTCTATCCACACCTGATGTTGTCTGTAATGCTTCCTTGGTCAGTAGACTGTCACTTGTTCTTCTATCCGCACCTGATGTTGTCTGTAATGCTTCCTTGGTCAGTAGACTGTCACTTGTTCTTCTATCCAAGCCTGATGTTGTCTGTAATGCTTCCTTGGTCAGTAGACTGTCACTTGTTCTTCTATCCACGCCTGATGTTGTCTGTAATGTTTCCTTGGTCAGTAGACTGTCACTTGTTCTTCTATCCAAGCCTGATGTTGTCTGTAATGTTTCCTTGGTCAGTAGACTGTCACTTTTTCTTCTATCCAAGCCTGATGTTGTCTGTAATGCTTCCTTGGTCAGTAGACTGTCACTTGTTCTTCTATTCAAGCCTCATGTTGTCTGTAATGTTTCCTTGGTCAGTAGACTGTCACTTGTTCTTCTATCCAAGTCTCATGTTGTCTGTAATGTTTCCTTGGTCAGTAGACTGTCACTTGTTCTTCTATCCAAGCCTGATGTTGTCTGTAATGCTTCCTTGGTCAGTAGACTGTCACTTGTTCTTCTATCCACACCTGATGTTGTCTGTAATGCTTCCTTGGTCAGTAGACTGTCACTTGTTCTTCTATCCACACCTGATGTTGTCTGTAATGCTTCCTTGGTCAGTAGACTGTCACTTGTTCTTCTATCCAAGCCTGATGTTGTCTGTAATGCTTCCTTGGTCAGTAGACTGTCACTTGTTCTTCTATCCAAGCCTGATGTTGTCTGTAATGCTTCCTTGGTCAGTAGACTGTCACTTGTTCTTCTATCCAAGCCTGATGTTGTCAGTAATGCTTCCTTGGTCAGTAGACTGTCACTTGTTCTTCTATCCAAGCCTCATGTTGTCTGTAATGTTTCCTTGGTCAGTAGACTTTCACTTGTTCTTCTATCCAAGCCTGATGTTGTCTGTAATGCTTCCTTGGTCAGTAGACTGTCACTTGTTCTTCTGTCCAATCCCCTGGTCAATAGACGGTCACCTGCTTTTTTGTAGGATTCTCATGCACCATACATATTCTTTATTAGGTTACAGAGTTACGGGAGCAGGTCTGACTCCAGCCAAGAACTTAACTGTCTCGACACAAGAAGCTGAAAAATCAACACTTCTGGTTGTGTCCAGTCTCCTATAAGTGTCACTTAACTGACTTTTCTACAGGGATGTCTTTAAGAAACGCATAGTTAATGCTGCTGGTTACGTTTGCACCTGCACAGTGTTTAGGAGGACGGGATAATAATATCATCTTCGTTATCAAGTGCCTTGCTGACCAACATGAGCTGCATGTATCAGTTCGTTTGTTGACACCCCTCTATGACAAAGTGCCTTGCTGACTAACGTGAGCTGCATGTATCAGTTCGTTTATTGACACCCCTCTATGACAAAGTGCCTTGCTGACTAACGTGAGCTGCATGTATCAGTTCGTTTATTGACACCCCTCTATGACAAAGTGCCTTGCTGACTAACGTGAGCTGCATGTATCAGTTCGTATGTTGACACCCCTCCATGACAAAGTGCCTTGCTGACTAACGTGAGCTGCATGTATCAGTTCGTTTATTGACACCCCTCCATGACAAAGTGCCTTGCTGACTAACGTGAGCTGCATGTATCAGTTCGTATGTTTCTATGACAAAGTGCCTTGCTGACTAACGTGAGCTGCATGTATCAGTCCACCCCTCCATGACAAAGTGCCTTGCTGACTAACGTGAGCTGCATGTATCAGTTCGTATGTTGACACCCCTCCATGACAAAGTGCCTTGCTGACTAACGTGAGCTGCATGTATCAGTTCGTATGTTGACACCCCTCCATGACAGATCTTTTCAGTGGTCACAACATGTTCCCTCTTCTCATAACATGACCACAAAATGATGACTGTCTCTGATGTCTGTGATAGGTTGTCTCCGAGCATTAGCCTCTTTCAAAACATCTGGGTTGCTCTTCTTAGCTGTGCAATGAATTCTAAGGATTCTTCAGTATTGTTCAGCTTGTTTATAAACTGTCTAGGATTCACAACTGTATGTTAAAACTGGCTCTATATAGCATGTGAGAATTCTTTTCCTGACCTCCAGTGGCATGGATTTTTTGCATAAAATTTTCTTCATTTGATAAAATGCAGTTTTGACTGGTCCTATTCTTTTCTTGTTCTCTGTGATACATCTTCCAATATTGGATGTTATCCATGTGCCTAGATACTAAATTTCTGTACTTGTCCCACAATATATATTTACTAACAATACCATTTACTGGTGTTTTTCTTGTCAGCCAAATGGCTTTTTTGAAGCCTTGTTAATGTCAAATTTTACCCATAGCCTCTGTGATGGAGGTCAAAGGTCATGGTATGAGTTGCCTGATATATATTATGTTAGACCCTGGGGAATGTATTCCATTGAATGTGTCAGTCTGTTACTGTTTATTTAGTATTCTCTTTATATGGCTTGATATATGTCTTATTGACAGCTAAGAATTGGAGAAGCCTAAAAACCTTTGAGATGACCTCCCAGTTTGTGGCCCACAGTTGATTAAGCTCTTGAGCAAAGATTGCTGAACAAGATATAGTTAGAAGAAAAGTTTTAAAATATAGATAAATAAATTGTTACAAAATGTATAAGTGACCCTTGTAAAATTGTTGTTTACAGATTGTTTTGCTTAAAGTGTTCATGGGCATCAGGATTAAGGATTCTCTGGATGAAACATCCCAGTTTAGTTTCCACTTGGTCATCATAGGCTGTTTTTGTTGGTCTGTTAGGTTTGTCTGTTAGGTTTGTCTGCTAGGTTTGTCTGTTAGGTTTGTCTGTTAGGTTTGTCTGCTAGGTTTGTCTGTTAGGTTTGTCTGTTAGGTTTAGCTTGTTCCCCAGAGTTTCACATGCTTAGGCGGCACTATTTCCAGCACTTTCTGTTGCTGACGGCCTTGTTCTGTTTTATTTCCAACTTGTGACTGTTGCATTCATTCTAGTTGATGTGTCTCATACTACTGCTGAAGCACAGCACAGTTAATCGTGTTGTAGGTGAACTTACAGCACTAAACAAGTCTGGTTCACTGATAATCCAATAGTAGTAACCTGTCAACATTTGATGTGTTGCTTCAGACTGGAAGTGTTGAGTAATGATGTGATTTGTTGAGTAATGATGTGATTTGCTGAGTAACAGTGTGATTTGTTGAGTAATGATGTGATTTGCTGAGTAACAGTGTGATTTGTTGAGTAATGATGTGATTTGCTAAGTAACGGTGTGATTTGTTCGAGTAATGATGTGATTTGTTGAGTAATGATGTAATTTGCTGAGTATTGATGTGATTTGTTGAGTAATGATGTGATTTTCTGAGTAATAATGTGATTTGCTGAGTAATAGTGTGATTTGTTGAGTAATGATGTGATTTGTTGAGTAATAATGTGATTTGCTGAGTAATAATGTGATTTGTTGACTAATGGTGTGATTTGCTGAGTAATGTTGTGATTTGCTAAGTAACGGTGTGATTTGTTGAGTAATGATGTGATTTGTTGGGTAATGGTTTTATTTGCTGAGTAATAATGTGTTTTGCTAAGTAACAGTGTGATTTGTTGAGTAATGATGTCATTTGATGAGTAATGATGTGATTTGTTCAGTAATAATGTGATTTGCTAAGTAACAGTGTGATTTGTTGAGTAATGATGTGATTTTTTGAGTAATGATGTGATTTAAATCCTGCTGTCAGCGTATGGTCGTCATTTATATTTCTGTACTACTACTACTTTCATTCGCTTGAAATAGATTATCTATGTCTGCAGTATTGTCTCTAGTATGAACTTCATTGTCTGTTGTAATTCACTCAGCGACCCGTAAAAGTTTGACTTGTACTGATGTTTCTCTTGGCCAAAAGTTCTGTCGATCTAGCTTACCAGAATAAATTAAAATTAGGTGCTGAAGTCGGAGGCAACCAACCAGGAGGCGCACCGTACAAATCAAGATGCCAGGCACATACACTAAAAAACATTTCTGTACTAAAAATGTTTTATTCAGCTATAATCTAGTCATGATATGTTGCTGGCACATCGTACTGAGGGGCTCGGCACATCGTACTGAGGGGCTCGGCACATCGTACTGAGGGGCTCGGCACATCGTACTGAGGGGCTCGGCACATCGTACTGAGGGGCTCGGCACATCGTACTGAGGGGCTCGGCACATCGTACTGAGGGGCTCGGCACATCGTACTGAGGGGCTCGGCACATCGTACTGAGGGGCTCGGCACATCGTACTGAGGGGCTCGGCACATCGTACTGAGGGGCTCGGCACATCGTACTGAGGGGCTCATTCAGTTTTGAGCAATTGAGAATCAAGGCATATCTGTGTAATTATCCAGTTGCATTCAGATCATAATGAAGCTACAATCAAATTATGATCTCTTTTTTGTTGTTTTTCAACTGAATTAGGAAACTTACTTGTAGACAAGCTTGTGTCTGTGAACAAGATTGGACATGGTATGTTTGTGTTTTGTTTATCTGTTTATTAAATGCTGTCTGTTTAGTTTATCAGGCATATATATATATCAGATCAATGCCTAGCTGGCTTTACTATATCACATAAGTAGGACAAGATCACAGATCTGGTCAATGACTCTGGGGATCATGTAAGATGGTAAACTATGTCTGCCCGAGCTATTCAGCATGGAACTTGATAATAGTGAGTCTGTTGTAAACATCTGACAGACACCTAACATCACCTACTCTAGGACGTTTCTTTAGCTAGCTGAAACATCACTGTCAGCTGTGAACATCTGACAGACATCTAACATCACCTACTCTAAGAGGTTTCTGTGGCTAGCTGAAACATGTTGTGAACATCTGACAGACATCTAACATCACCTACTCTAAGAGGTTTCTGTGGCTAGCTGAAACATTTTGTGAACATCTGACAGACATCTGACATCACCTACTCAAGGGGGTATCTTTGGCTAGCTGAAATTGGTCAGCTCATGTTGTGAACATCTGACAGACATCTAACATCACCTACTCTATGGGGTATCTATGGCTAGCTAAACCATATCAGCCTATGTTGCGAACATCTTACAGACATCTAACATCACCTGCTCTAGAGGTTCTCTGTGGCTAGCTGAAACATCACAGCGTATGTTGTGAACATCTGACATACATCTAACATCATCTACTTTAGGGGATATCTATTCCTAGCTTAAACATCATAATGTATGTTGTAAACATTTGACAGACATCTAACATCACCTACTCTAGGGGATATCTATGGCTAGCTGAAACATCACAATTATGCTGTGAACATTTGACAGACATCTAACATCACCTACTCTAGGGGGTATCTGTGGCTAGCTGAAACATCTCACTGTCTGTTGTCAACATCTGAAAGACACCTAACATCACCTACTCTAGGAGGTTTCTTTAGCTAGCTGAAACATCACTGTCAGCTGTGAACATCTAACAGATATATAACATTACCTACTCTTGGGGTATCTATGGCTAGCTAAAAAATAACAGCCTATGTTGTGAACATCTGACAGACCTCTAACATCACCTACTCTAGGGGGTTTCTGTGGCTAGCTGAAACATAACAGCCTATGTTGTTAACATCTGACAGACATCTAACATCACCTACTCTAGGGGATATCTATGACTAGCTGAAACATCACAATGTATCAGCAGACTCTGAGGCTGTACCAGCTTAGGGGTAACTATCAACAATAATAAAACTGTTCTTATCTATCAATCGGCTTCCAGAAAAAAAACTTACTGTGATCCCACAATGACTGTAAATGATCAAAAGCTAAATGTACTCAATGGTTTTACTTATCTTGGTCGTACCCTATCTCAGAGAGTCAACATCGACAATGAGATCAACGCTAGAATCTCATAGGCCAGCAGCATCTTCGGCAGACTTGATACCAGTGTCTGAAACAGAAGTGGTATCTCCCTGCTGACTAAGCTAAAGGTTTACAGAGCTGTAATTCTTTCAGTACTGCTCTACGCTTGCAAAATGTGGACTGTGTATCAGCGCTAAAATGATGAAACATCTTCATATAGCTTATTTCAGAAAGCTGCTCAAAATCAAATGGCAAGATACGATCCCAATTAGTGTGGTTCTTGATAAGACAAATTTGCCTAACCTCCACACGATACTGAATAATTATCAGCTGCGTTGGGCTGGTCACCTAGCTCGCATGCCAGACAATCGCATCCCAAAGAGAGTATGTTATGGCAAGCTCCAACAAGGATAGAGGTCCCAGGGAAGATAGAAAAAGCACTTTTTTGGTGGAAAAGGGGGGGGGGGAGGGGGGGGGGGGGGTCATCAAAATAGCAACATGGGAGGCTACTGCACAGGACCGCTGTGGATGGCTTAAATCCTTCAGGCATGGTGCCTGCCAGGCAGCGGGGGTTGCACAGGCAGAGAAACAGAGGCAGATTAGAAAGAACAGTATCGCTAATCCTACACTTTCTGCGGCTTCCACCTGTTGTAGGCACTGCTCAAGAACTTTCCAGCCTCATATTGGACTAATCAGCCACCTTTGTGTTAATAATCATTGATCTTTGCTACTGTGGATGAAAAGTGGCCTTCATCGCTCATTGATGGATAAACAACATAGATTAAACTAATCCCTCTCCTGTGCTGTTGACATATTGTGTTGACATGACTTGAAGAGATGTCATTTTATCTGTAACAGCTCTTCACTGCTTGGATCCTGTGTTCAGTCGGATCACTCAAAGTGACAAGGTGAAGGTAAGTAAACACAATCATGGATTGGGCTGAGCCAGCGTGCACACTGTATAAATGTCTGTCACATATTTAAAAAAATCACTATGTGTGCCTGTGTGTGCAGTCATCTGTCATTGTATTCTTCTGAGTTAAGATCAGCAATTCAGTAACCATAAGTGCTGCATCCTTATCTTCAGCAGCAAGCACAAAGTTCCAGTTTTGATGACACCAGTAGATTGTATGACCATGTTGCCTTTGCCCTGAGTGTGGAGTGTTGGCCAGATCCCCTGAGTGTGGAGTGTTGGCCAGATCTCATGAGTTTGCAGTGTTGGCCAGATCCCCTGAGTGTGAAGTGTTGGCCAGATCCCCTGAGTGTGGAGTGTTGGCCAGATCCCCTGAGTGTGGAATGTCGGCCAGATTCCCTGAGTGTAGAGTGTTGGCCAGATTCCCTGAGTGTAGAGTGTTGGCCAGATCCCCTGAGTGTGGAGTGTTGGCCAGATCCCCTGAGTGTGGAGTGTTGGCCAGATCCCCTAAGTGTAGAGTGTTGGCCAGATCCCCTGAGTGTGGAGTGTTGGCCAGATCTCCTGAGTGTAGAGTGTTGGCCAGATCCCCTGAGTGTAGAGTGTTGGCCAGATCCCCTGAGTGTGGAGTGTTGGCCAGATCTCCTGAGTGTAGAGTGTTGGCCAGATCCCCTGAGTGTAGAGTGTTGGCCAGATCCCCTAAGTGTAGAGTGTTGGCCAGATCCCCTGAGTGTGGAGTGTTGGCCAGATCCCCTAAGTGTAGAGTGTTGGCCAGATCCCCTGAGTGTGGAGTGTTGGCCAGATCCCCTGAGTGTGCAGTGTTGGCCAGATCCCCTGAGTGTGGAATGTCGGCCAGATCCCCTGAGTGTGAAGTGTTGGCCAGATTCCCTGAGTGTGAAGTGTTGGCCAGATTCCCTGAGTGTGGAATGTTGGCCAGATCCCCTGAGTGTAGAGTGTTGGCCAGATCCCCTGAGTGTAGAGTGTTGGCCAGATCTCCTGGTCAGTGCCTGCTGCCAGATTCTGGTTAGATCATGATGATCTAATTGTGTCTTGGCACTGTTCACTCACTGGCAAAGGGTTGTGACAAGTTTTGGCTAATCAAGCATCGTTTACTACCCAGGCAGGCAAGACCAGCTAATCTATGGGCCTGTGATTTGCTAACATACATTCATGATTCAGAGAAACTATCCAGACACCAACTATCTGGAGGAATGCTTGCCACCTTTTTCTACATGCTCTCTGAGTCAGTTACAATCACAGCATGTGTGTACAGCTGGTTCTAAAGCCACCTGACGGTTGCAGTGACTTCCTCTACCTCCATTCTCAAACTACATGCTGTGCTATCATATGTCAGGTTTGTTGCATAAAGGATTGTCTACACTCCCTCTGCCTCTCAGCACAGAGCCCTCTTGAAGGATAATTATGTCACCTGGGCAAGAATTGTCATGTATCACTTGTTCAACTTCTTATTCTGCAGCTTGTGCTGGCCAGTCCCTGCACTCCCAGCCAAATGTCATTAGAACCCTACCCGTCTGTCTGTGTTCTTCTCTGGCTGATCAGCTGCATTGTCTCTGTTGGTTAATTGACTGATTGTTTCAGCTTTGTTGATTGACTGATTGTTTCAGCTTTTTTGATTGACTGATTTTTTCAACTTTGTTGATTGACTCGTTGTTTCAGCTTTAATTATTGAAACATTGTTTTAGCTTCAATGACTGGCTCATTGTTTCAGCTTTGTCGATTGACTCATTGTTTTAACTTTGTTGATTGACTCATTGTTTTAGGTTTGTTGATTGACTCATTGTTTTAGGTTTGTTGACTGACTCATTGTTTTAGGTTTGTTGACTGACTCATTGTTTTAGGTTTGTTGACTGACTCATTGTTTTAGGTTTGTTGACTGACTCATTGTTTTAGGTTTGTTGACTGACTCATTGTTTTAGGTTTGTTGACTGACTCATTGTTTTAGGTTTGTTGACTGACTCATTGTTTTAGGTTTGTTGACTGACTCATTGTTTTAGGTTTGTTGACTGACTCATTGTTTTAGGTTTGTTGACTGACTCATTGTTTTAGGTTTGTTGACTGACTCATTGTTTTAGGTTTGTTAATTGACTCATTGTTTTAGGTTTGTCGATTGACTCATTGTTTTAACTTTGTTGATTGACTCATTGTTTTAGGTTTGTTGACTGACTCATTGTTTTAGGTTTGTTGATTGACTCATTGTTTTAGGTTTGTTGATTGACTCATTGTTTTAGGTTTGTTGATTGACTCATTGTTTCAATTTTGTTGACTGACTTATTGTTTCAGCTTATTAGATTGACTCATTGTTTCTACTTTGCTGATTCTTATTGTTTCTATTTTGTTGACTCATTGTTTCTACTTTGTTGATTGACTCATTGTTTCTACTTTGGTGATTGACTCATTGTTTCTACTGTGTTGACTCATTGTTTCTACTTTGTTGATTGACTTATTGTTTCTACTGTGTTGATTGACTCATTGTTTCTTATTTATTGATTGACATTGTTTCTACTTTGTTGATTCACTCATTGTTTCTACTTTGTTGATTGACTCATTGTTTCTACTTTGTTGACTCATTGTTTCTACTTTGTTGATTGACTCATTGTTTCTACTGTGTTGACTCATTGTTTCTACTTTGTTGATTGACTCATTGTTTCTACTGTGTTGATTCATTGTTTATATTTTGTTGATTGACTCATTGTTTCTATTTTGTTGATTGACTCATTGTTTCTACTTTGTTCTCATTGTTTCTACTTTGTTGACTCATTGTTTCTACTTTGTTGACTCATTGTTTCTGCTGTGTTGACTCATTGTTTCTACTTTGTTGATTGACTCATTGTTTCTACTGTGTTGACTCATTGTTTCTGCTGTGTTGACTCATTGTTTCTACTTTGTTGATTGACTCATTGTTTCTACTGTGTTGATTGACTCATTGTATCTACTGTGTTGATTGACTCATTGTTTCTACTTTGTTGATTGACTCATTGTTTCTACTTAGTTAAGTGACTCATTTTTTCTACTTTGTTGATTGACTCATTGTTTCTACTTTGTTGATTGACTCATTGTTTCCACTTTGTTGATTGACTCATTGTTTCTACTTTGTTGATTGACTCATTGTTTCAACTTTTTGTTGTTTGCAGAACCTGGCCAAAGCTGTGGGTTTTGTAGATCCAGTCATTTGTCAAAGCATGTATATCTTCAAGGTAGGTCTCCAGACATTTGTTAGAGCATGTATATCTTCAAGGTAGGTCTGCAGACATTTGTCAGAGCATGTATATCTTCAAGGTAGGTCTGCAGACATTTGTCAGAGCATGTATATCTTCAAGGTATATATCCAGTCATTGTTATTTGCTCTCATAAATAAAATGTTTTTGTAAGTCAATTCAGTCTATCACACATATCATCAGACATTCACATCTAGAATCAACCTTTTGTTGCACTTGTTGCTTTGTTGCTCTATATCAGTTGTCTGTTGGGGGGAAACACATGACATGTCAGTGTTCTATAGCAACAGATAAGTGGGTCCGCAGGCTGGGATACTGTTCTCCTGTGTGTGCCGATACTGGCAAGAGTGACGATTCTCACGGGTGTTTTAGAGGCTTTCATTGAAGCAGATACTGGCAAGAGTGATGATTCTCACAGGTGTTTTAGAGGCTTTCATTGAAGCCGATACAGGCAAGAGTGATGATTCTCACGGGTGTTTGAGAGACTTTCAGTGAAGCAGATACAGGCAAGAGTGATGATTCTCACGGGTGTTTTAGAGGCTTTCATTGAAGCAGAGGCTGACAGAAGCCACAGGAGAGTGATGATTCTCACGGGTGTTTGAGAGGCTTTTATTGAAGCAGATACAGGCAAGAGTGATGATTCTCACGGGTGTTTGAGAGACTTTCATTGAAGCAGATACAGGCAAGAGTGACGATTCTCACGGGTGTTTGAGAGGCTTTCATTGAAGCAGATACAGGCAAGAGTGATGATTCTCACGGGTGTTTGAGAGACTTTCATTGAAGCAGATACAGGCAAGAGTGATGATTCTCACGGGTGTTTGAGAGGCTTTTATTGAAGCAGATACAGGCAAGAGTGACGATTCTCACGGGTGTTTGAGAGACTTTCAGTGAAGCAGATACAGGCAAGAGTGACGATTCTCACGGGTGTTTGAGAGACTTTCAGTGAAGCAGATACAGGCAAGAGTGATGATTCTCACGGGTGTTTGAGAGACTTTCATTAAAGCAGATACTGGCAAGAGTGATGATTCTCACGGGTGTTTGAGAGGCTTTTATTGAAGCAGATACAGGCAAGAGTGACGATTCTCACGGGTGTTTGAGAGACTTTCAGTGAAGCAGAAGCTGACAGAAGCCACGTGGCAAACCTCGGAATGAGATAGAATAATATGGAAATGAGAAATTAGATGCATTAATTCTTCTTCCTCCTTCTGTGTTCATTCTTTAAAAGGTGGTTAGCACACCGTGTTATGGTTTACAGCCGAGCTGTTAGTCTGTGCCTTTGATTTTCTGATTTCAGCAAGTCTTAAGGAATGGTGGGTCCATCCCCCCTCCCCCTCCACCCAACCCTGACCTCCTCGTTTGAACCCTGGAAACCACATGGAGAAGAGACCAATTCATAATATGGAAGGGGTTCAGAATGTGAGGAGGATAAGGGAGAAATGGGCTGGAAGACAACAGATAAGAGGGCCTGTCATGAATTAGCAGAGTGATTATACTCCATTGGGGGATGGAAAGCCAGAATTAGCGGAGTGATTATATTCCATAGGGGGATGGAAAGCTAGAATTAGCGGAGTGATTATATTCCATAGGGGGATGGAAGGCGAGAATTAGCAGAGTGATTATATTCCATAGGGGGATGGAAGGCGAGAATTAGCGGAGTGATTATATTCCATAGGGGGATGGAAGGCGAGAATTAGCAGAGTGATTATATTCCATAGGGGGATGGAAAGCTAGAATTAGCTGAGTGATTATATTCCATAGGGGGATGGAAGGCGAGAATTAGCAGAGTGATTATATTCCATAGAGGGATGGAAGGCGAGAATTAGCGGAGTGATTATATTCCATAGGGGGATGAAAGGCGAGAATTAGCAGAGTGATTATATTCCATAGGGGGATGGAAGGCGAGAATTAGCGGAGTGGCTGTACTCCATTGGGGGATGGAACGTGGTGAGAATTGTCGGAGTGACTATACTCCATTGGAGGATGGAAGGTGAGAATTGGGGGAGTGACTTTACTCCATTTAGGAATGAAAGGTGAGAATTGACAGAGTGACTATACTCCATTGAGTGATGGAAGGCAAGAATTGACAGAGTGACTATACTCCATTGGGGGATGGAAGGTGAGAATTGGCAGAATGACTATAGTCCACTGAGTGATGGAAGGTGAGAATTGGTGGAGTGACTGTACTTCATTAAGTGATGGAAGGTGAGAATTGGTGGAGTGACTGTACTTCATTAAGTGATGGAAGGTGAGAATTGGTGGAGTGACTGTACTTCATTAAGTGATGGAAGGTGAGAATTGGTGGAGTGACAGTACATCATTAAGTGATGGAAGGTGAGAATTGGTGAAGTGACTGTACTTCATTAAGTGATGGAAGGTGAGAATTGGTGGAGTGACTGTACTTCATTAAGTGATGGAAGGTGAGAATTGGCAGAGTGACTAAACTCCATTGGGGGATGGAAGGCAGAAATTAAATCTAATACTTGCAGGTTAATCCAACCAGACAACTCAGTTTCTATTTTGTGTCTCTCCTGCAGCAACCCAGGATTGGCGGAGTGGGTGAGTAACTTGTCTGTTGTCTTGATATCAAAGATAGATCCAGAAGGGGACACTGATGCGATACAGCTCTCCCTTGCTGACCTTAACATGGTATACAAATCATCATCAAACAGCAGGTCATATACAGAACGCTGCTTTCTTCACAGTACTCATGAAAGTCTCTGTAGCCTATTCTCCAGCCCTGTATGCTTTCAGAGCCAGTGTATCTGCAGTGTGTTATATCCACCTTTATGGAGGTCTGCCTTTATACAGTGTTGTCATGTCACAACACAGCCAGTGTATCTGCAGTGTGTTATATCCACCATCATGGAGGTCTGCCTTTATACAGTGTTGTCATGTCACAACACAGTGTATCTGCAGTGTGTTATATCCGCCATCATGGAGGTCTGCCTCTATACAGTGTTGTCATGTCACAACACAGTGTATCTGCAGTGTGTTATATCCACCATCATGGAGGTCTGCCTTTATACAGTGTTGTCATGTCACAACACAGCCAGTGTATCTGCAGTGTGTTATATCCACCATCATGGAGGTCTGCCTCTATACAGTGTTGTCATGTCACAACACAGCCAGTGTATCTGCAGTGTGTTATATCCACCATCATGGAGGTCTGCCTTTATACAGTGTTGTCATGTCACAACACAACACAGTGTATCTGCAGTGTGTTATATCCACCATTATGGAGGTCTGCCTTTATACAGTGTTGTCATGTCACAACACAGCCAGTGTATCTGCAGTGTGTTATATCCACCATCATGGAGGTCTGCCTCTATACAAACAGTGTTGTCATGTCACAACACAGTGTATCTGCAGTGTGTTATATCCACCTTCATGGAGGTCTGCCTTTATACAGTGTTGTCATGTCACAACACAGCCAGTGTATCTGCAGTGTGTTATATCCACCTTCATGGAGGTCTGCCTCTATACAGTGTTGTCATGTCACAACACAGTGTATCTGCAGTGTGTTATATCCACCATCATGGAGGTCTGCCTCTATACAAACAGTGTTGTCATGTCACAACACAGTGTATCTGCAGTGTGTTATATCCACCATCATGGAGGTCTGCCTTTATACAGTGTTGTCATGTCACAACACAGCCAGTGTATCTGCAGTGTGTTATATCCACCATCATGGAGGTCTGCCTTTATACAAACAGTGTTGTCATGTCACAACACAGTCAGTGTATCTGCAGTGTGTTATATCCGCCTTCATGGAGGTCTGCCTTTATACAGTGTTGTCATGTCACAACACAGTGTATCTGCAGTGTGTTATATCCACCATCATGGAGGTCTGCCTTTATACAAACAGTGTTGTCATGTCACAACACAGTGTATCTGCAGTGTGTTATATCCACCATCATGGAGGTCTGCCTTTATACAGTGTTGTCATGTCACAACACAGTGTATCTGCAGTGTGTTATATCCACCATCATGGAGGTCTGCCTTTATACAGTGTTGTCATGTCACAACACAGTGTATCTGCAGTGTGTTATATCCACCATCATGGAGGTCTGCCTTTATACAGTGTTGTCATGTCACAACACAGTGTATCTGCAGTGTGTTATATCCACCTTCATGGAGGTCTGCCTTTATACAAACAGTGTTGTCATGTCACAACACAGTGTATCTGCAGTGTGTTATATCCACCATCATGGAGGTCTGCCTCTATACAGTGTTGTCATGTCACAACACAGCCAGTCAAGTGAACTCCCAGCCCCCGATTGATCTCCCCCTTGTCTAGGGCTGACAGGTTGTAACTGGGCAAGAATCAACACAGAACATCCAATATAAGAGGTGATTAAAACAAAAAAAAGTAAAGATCCCTTTACACACCCTAAGGCGCATCGGGCATATGGGAAGAGCACCCATATTTTTACGACCAATTCGGCACTCATTGGGTAATGTGGTCAGCATTACGCCGGCCGTCTTTACTTTCCCAGGACAGCCCATCCTGGTACCAATTTGAGGCTGGGTCGACCTGCGACGTTCCATACCACGATAAAAATCCACGCAGCCCGCAGTGGGTTTCGATCGCGGTACGTTGGATTACGAGTCGGACTCGCAACGCCTTAGCCACGGACGCTGCTATAAGAGGTGATAGAGATTATAAATGTTATGCTTGAAATACAGGGAGATGATAAATGAAGTGCATACACTTTATGCAATGTGTAATGACATGCTGATGATAGGGAATTAGAAGTTAAAACTTGGAATTTGTTTGATTGAACAGTAAAAAGATAAGATGTATTCATAGAAAGGAGATGATTTAGAATATAGTTAAGTGTAGTCTGAAGACTACTCTGTGTGCAAGGCAGACAATAATTGAGGGGTGATGAATGTTGTGAGAAGAGAGGGTGTATGAGTGAAAGTACAGGAAATAAAGGAATGTAAACTGACATGGGATACCAAGGGCAGAAAATCAGCAGACCGGCAGCAATGGAGATCATATGTGAATGCCTTATATGTCAACAGTGAAAAGGATATAGATAGATAGATGAGTGAAAGTGATCAGGCGTGTGTGTATGTGGGAATAGAGCCAAGGATAGAGAAAAGAGGAATGATAAACACAGAATATAAACCTTATGTGTGAAGCGCAGACAGTGTGTTGTTGTGAACATGTAGTAGATCTTTTGTTTGACAAGCTGGCAGACAATCATTGTGTGATGTCTCTTGTTCAGTGAGGCCCCACCAGGATTCCACTTTTCTCAACACCAGCCCCAAGCGGTTGATTGGAGTCTGGATCCCCCTGGAAGATGCCACCAAAGAAAATGGCTGCCTGTGGTTCATTCCTAGATCCCACAGAAGTGAGTGTTTGTGTGGTCATGTATTTGTTATGTCAGTGAGTGTTTGTCCTGTTTGTGTGGTCATGTAGTAGTTATGTCAGTGAGTGTATGTCCTGTTTGTGTGGTCATGTAGTAATGTCAGTAAGTGTATGTCCTATTTGTGTGGTCATGTAGTAGTTATGTCAGTGAGTGTATGTCCTATTTGTGTGGTCATGTAGTAGTTATGTCAGTGAGTGTATGTCCTGTTTGTGTGGTCATGTAGTAGTTATGTCAGTGAGTGTATGTCCTGTTTGTGTGGTCATGTAGTAGTTATGTCAGTAAGTGTATGTCCTATTTGTGTGGTCATGTAGTAGTTATGTCAGTGAGTGTATGTCCTGTTTGTGTGGTCATGTAGTAGTAATGTCAGTAAGTGTATGTCCTGTTTGTGTGGTCATGTAGTAATGTCAGTAAGTGTATGTCCTGTTTGTGTGGTCATGTAGTAGTTATGTCAGTAAGTGTATGTCCTGTTTGTGTGGTTATATAGTAGTTATGTCAGTAAGTGTGTGTCCTGTTTGTGTGGTCATGTAGTAGTTATGTCAGTAAGTGTGTGTCCTGTTTGTGTGGTCATGTAGTAGTTATGTCAGTAAGTGTGTTTCCTGTTTGTGTGGTCATGTAGTAGTTATGTCAGTAAGTGTATGTCCTGTTTGTGTGGTCATGTAGTAGTTATGTCAGTAAGTGTGTGTCCTGTTTGTGTGGTCATGTAGTAGTTATGTCAGTAAGTGTGTGTCCTGTTTGTGTGGTCATGTAGTAGTTATGTCAGTGAGTGTTTGTGTGGTCATGTAGTAGTTATGTCAGTGAGTGTTTGTGTGGTCATGTAATAGTTATGTCAGTGAGTGTTTGTGTGGTCATGTAATAGTTATGTCAGTGAGTGTTTGTGTGGTTATGTAGTAGTTATTTCAGTGAGTGTTTGTGTGGTCATGTAGTAGTTATGTCAGTGAGTGTTTGTGTGGTCATGTAATAGTTATGTCAGTGAGTGTTTGTGTGGTCATGTAATAGTTATGTCAGTGAGTGTTTGTGTGGTCATGTAATAGTTATGTCAGTGAGTGTTTGTGTGGTCATGTAGTAGTTATGTCAGTGAGTGTTTGTGTGGTCATGTAGTAGTTACATCATTGAGTGTTTGTGTGGTCATGTAGTAGTTATTTCAGTGAGTGTTTGTGTGGTTATGTAGTAGTTATGTCAGTGAGTGTTTGTTTTGTCAGGTAGTAGTTATGTCAGTGAGTTAGTTAATTTGTTTATTCCAGATCATTTGAAAAAAGGTGAGGGTTGGTAGACAGCTGTTGAAAAATGTCAGAAAGAGACACAGATCATTTGTTTGTGGCTACATTTTGAGAAGAGAGAAACTAGAAGCTGTTGTATTGACAGGGACTGTTGTATTGACAGGGACTGTTGTATTGACAGGGACTGTTGTATTGACAGGGACTGTTGTATTGACAGGGACTGTTGTATTGACAGGGACTGTTGTATTGACAGGGACTGTTGTATTGGACAGGGACTGTTGTATTGGACAGGGACTGTTGTATTGACAGGGACTGTTGTATTGACAGGGACTGTTGTATTGATAGGGACTGTTGTTGGACAGGGACTGCTGTATTGGACAGGGACTGTTGTATTGACAGGGACTGTTGTATTGACAGGGACTGTTGTATTGACAGGGACTGTTGTTGGACAGGGACTGTTGTATTGACAGGGACTGTTGTTGGACAAGTAGTAGAGAAAGACAAAATGAAGAGATTCTTGACCACCAATGTCATCACACGGAAGAGAACTGATACATGCTGTTGGCCATAACAGGTTGTAGAAAGACATGATCACCAGTGTCATCACACGGAAGAGAACTGATACATGCTGTTGGCCATAACAGGTTGTAGAAAGACTTGACCACCAGTGTCATCACACGGAAGAGAACTGATACATGCTGTTGGCCATAGCAGGTTGTAGAAAGACATGATCACCAGTCAAGAAGGCAATTGTGGATGATGACTTTGAGATGATATAGTTGTAATCCTTCAAGACACAGGTTGTCACATGACCAGTGTCAGTTCAGGGCATATGCTTGGCTAAAGCACAGTGATATCAGATAGTCACCTCCATTCATTGATGCCTTACCTGACCAAACCAGATTCTCAACATTTGCCAGCAGTCGTTTGGCAGTCAGTAGACAGATTCATGTGGGGAGATGAGGTTGGTGTGGGTGTCAGACCACTTGACATGTGTCACATCAGTGTGTCTCTAGGATATAATCATCCTCTTGATAGTTGTACAGGCATAGTGTTTGCTTCTCTTCTGGTCCCTGGTAAAAGACTTCAGAGAAGAATTGTTGCTGCCAGTTTGAATTGTGTACATCTAGAGAATATGTTCTGTATTGACAGTTTTGAACTTATGGTGAGTATGTTACTGGGTCACCAGCAGAAAACTCAGTCAAATGTCCACTTCTAACAGTGTTACAATCCACTTCTGACAGTGTTACAATCCACTTCTGACAGTGTTACAATCCACTTCTGACAGTGTTACAGTCAGCTTCTGACAGTGTTACAGTCAGCTTCTAACAGTGTTACAGTCCACTTTTGACAGTGTTACAGTCAGCTTCTGACATTGTTACAGTCCACTTCTGACAGTGTTACAGTCCACTTCTGACAGTGTTACAGTCAGCTTCTGACAGTGTTACAGTCAGCTTCTGACAGTGTTACAGTCAGCTTCTAACAGTGTTACAGTCCACTTTTGACAGTGATACAGTCAGCTTCTGACATTGTTACAGTCCACTTCTGACAGTGTTACAGTCCACTTCTGACATTGTTACAGTCCACTTCTGACATTGTTACAGTCAGCTTCTGACAGTGTTACAGTCCACTTCTGACAGTGTTACAGTCCACTTCTGACAGTGTTACAGTCCACTTCTGACATTGTTACAGTCAGCTTCTAACAGTGTTACAATCCACTTCTGACATTGTTACAGTCAGCTTCTGACAGTGTTACAGTCAGCTTCTGACAGTGTTACAGTCAGCTTCTAACAGTGTTACAGTCCACTTTTGACAGTGATACAGTCAGCTTCTGACATTGTTACAGTCCACTTCTGACATTGTTACAGTCAACTTCTGACATTGTTACAGTCAACTTCTGACAGACATTGTAACAGTCCACTTCTGACAGTGTTACAGTCAACTTCAGACAGTGTTACAGTCAACTTCTGACAGACATTGTAACAGTCCACTTCTGACAGTGTTACAGTCAGCTTCAGACAGTGTTACAGTCAGCTTGAGACAGTGTTACAGACAGCTTCAGACAGTGTTACAGGGCTGGACAATGCCAGTGATGGTTCTACTGATTCGGTCTTCACTTGGGGAGAATTATGTCAGTGATGTCTACTAGTCTGTGTGTGGGCTAAACAGATGTGACATGTACTGTCCTCCCCAGATTTTTTCCAGGGGCCGCATTTTGGGCATAGACCAACTGCTCACTCTCAGCAAGCACACGGTAACGATTCAACAAATTGTGGATGTTTCTGTCCATGACTGCTTACAAATAAGCCAGCTCTGTAAAACGGATTTGCATGCACACTTTAGTTCTAGAACAAGACTTAGAAGCAGAAGTGGACAAACAGTCCAGAACTTTCCACCTGAGTTAACCGCTGGTAGAACACAAAGAAGGAGATGAAGAAGCAGAAGTGGACAAACAGTCCAGAACTTTCCACCTGAGTTAACCGCTGGTAGAACACAAAGAAGGAGATGAAGAAGCAGAAGTGGACAAACAGTCCAGAACTTTCCACCTGAATTAACAGCTGGTAGAACACAAAGAAGGAGATGAAGAAGCAGAAGTGGACAAACAGTCCAGAACTTTCCACCTAAGTTAACAGCTGGTAGAACACAAAGAAGGAGATAATGAAGCAGAAGTGGACAAACAGTCCAGAACTTTCCACCTAAGTTAACCGCTGGTAGAACACAAAGAAGGAGATGAAGAAGAAGAAGCAGTCTTACAGTCCTGGAGGTTATTGGAGGTATGTGATGTCAGGCTTGTCAGATCATCAGAAGAGTGGTCAGTTTGTTCCAGAATGCCCAGTGTCCAGACTTAGTGAATTCAGCTGATGACATCAATCACAACTTCCACAAATGACACCTGAGAGAAATACCAGGCTGACATATCTGTGCTGTTATCTGCAATAGACTGCAGTTGTTTGTTGAGTTGAGTGGGGTCACTTATAGTTGTAGGTCCTGGCTAATTGAGCACTGTTCTGCCTCAAGTAATAATAAACTTATCTAGAACTGCCATGGTGTGTGTATGTTAAGTGTGCTATGTCTCCCTGGACCCAAGACCGCGGATCTGTTTTTAAAAGTGTGCTAGTCTTTGTTGTGGTGATGGATCTCTTCTGTTCTCACAACTAGAGTCTCTTGTTCTTATTGGCAGAATTCTTAATCTTCTGTTCTCACAACTGGAGTCTTATGTTCTTATTGGCAGAATTCTTAATCTTCTATTCTTACAACTGGAGTCTCTTGTTCTTATTGGCAGAATTCCTAATCTTCTACTCTCACAACTGGAGTCTCTCTTGTTCTCACTAGCAGACTTCTTGATGTCCTAGTTCACATTCTCACTTACTTGTAAGTTTATCTTCTTCTTGTCCGTGTCTGGGTCACCTGAGGCTGACTGAGGTGTGAGATGGCTGGCTCCACATACAGCACAACTGACTGAGGTGTGAGATGGCTGGCTCCACATACAGCACAACTGACTGAGGTGTGAGATGGCTGGTTCCACATACAGCACAACTGACTGAGGTGTGAGATGACTGGCTCCACATACAGCACAACTGACTGAGGTGTAAGATGGCTGGCTCCACATACAGCACAACTGACTGAGGTGTGAGATGGCTGGCTCCACATACAGCACAACTGACTGAGGTGTGGGATGGCTGGCTCCACATACAGCACAACTGACTGAGGTGTAAGATGGCTGGCTCCACATACAGCACAACTGACTGAGGTGTGAGATGGCTGGCTCCACATACAGCACAACTGACTGAGGTGTGGGATGGCTGGCTCCACATTCAGCACAACTGACTGCGGTGTGGGATGGCTGGCTTCACATACAGCACAACTGACGTAGGTGTGGGATGGCTGGCTCCACATACAGCACAACTGACTGAGGTGTGGGATGGCTGGCTCCACATACAGCACAACTGACTGAGGTGTGAGATGGCTGGCTCCATATACAGCACAACTAACTGAGGTGTGAGATGGCTGGCTCCACATACAGCACAACTGACTGAGGTGTGAGATGGCTGGCTCCACATACAACACAACTGACTCAGGTGTGAGATGGCTGGCTCCACATGCATCACAACTGACTGAGGTGTGAGATGGCTGGCTCCACATACAGCACAACTGACTGAGGTGTGGGATGGCTGGCTCCACATACAGCACAACTGACTGAGATTTGAGATGGCTGGCTCCACATACAGCACAACTAACTGAGGTGCAAGATGGCTGGCTCCACATACAGCACAACTGACAGGTGTGAGATGGCTGGCTCCACATACAGCACAACTGACGGAGGTGTGAGATGGCTGGCTCCACATACAGCACAACTGACTGAGGTGTGGGATGGCTGGCTCCACATACAGCACAACTGACTGAGGTGTGAGATGGCTGGCTTCACATACAGCACAACTGACTGAGGTGTGAGATGGCTGGCTCCACATACAGCACAACTGACTGAGGTGTGAGATGGTTGGCTCCACGTACAGCACAACTGACTGAGGTATGAGATGGCTGGCTCCACATACAGCACAACTGACTGAGGTGTGAGATGGTTGGCTCCACGTACAGCACAACTGACTGAGGTGTGAGATGGCTGGCTCCACATACAGCACAACTGACTGAGGTATGAGATGGCTGGCTCCACGTACAGCACAACTGACTCAGCTGAGGTGTGGGATGGTTGGTTCCACATACAGCACATTGACTGAGGTGTGAGATGGCTGGCTCCGCGTACAGCACAACTGACTGAGGTGTGGGATGGTTGGCTCCACATACAGCACAACTGACTGAGGTGTGAGATGGCTGGCTCCACATACAGCACAACTGACTGAGGTGTGAGATGGCTGGCTCCACGTACAGCACAACTGACTGAGGTGTGGGATGGCTGGCTCCACCACAGCACAACTGACTGAGGTGCGAGATGGCTGGCTCCAAATACAGCACAACTGACTGAGGTGTGAGATGGTTGGCTCCACGTACAGCACAACTGACTGAGGTGTGAGATGGCTGGCTCCACATACAGCACAACAGAATGAGGTGTGAGATGGCTGGCTCCACATACAGCACAACTGACTGAGGTGTGAGATGGCTGGCTCCACATACAGCACAACTGACTGAGGTGTGAGATGGCTGGCTCCACATACAGCACAACTGAC